TGTCACCCAGGCTGGAGTGCAGAAGCGCCATCCTGGCTCACTGCAGCCTCGGCCACCCAGGCTCAAGTGATACTTCCACCTCACAAGATTATTTTATTTTATTTTTATAGAGATGGGATCTCTCACTATGTTGCACAGGCTGGTCTCAAACTACTGGGCTCAAGTGATCCTCCTGTCTCAGCCTCCCGAAGAGTTGGGATTAGAGGTGTAAGCCACCACACTGGGACAAAACTTCTTACAAGGACACTAATCCCACCATAAGGGCCTTACCCTCACGACTTCATATAAACTTCCCAAACGCCCTATCTCCTGGGAGAGGAACACCAGTCAGTCCATTGCACCTCCCTTATCTGGCAGACCCCCACCTCTTGCTTTAATTCTGCTCAGGCATCACTTCCTCAGGAAATCCTTGACTAAGCACCTCATATCCCCCACCGCTTCACTCTAAGGTGACAAGGCGGGCTTTAATTCATGTTTTGTGCTTACCTCTTTCATGGCACTTGTCTCTGTTTTGTAATTATCTGTTTCCAGTCTGATTCCCTAATAGGTCGTGAGTCCCTTGAAGGCAAGGCGTTTGTCTCATTCAACTGTGTTCTCCCAAACCCTAGAACACGGCCTGACCCGTGGTAGGCAACCAATGATACTTTTTGAGTGAATAGAACAAAAAGTATTGCCCTGCTTAATAAAAGAAAACCTAGAACCTTCAAGGTTGACATTGGCCTTCGCGTAGCCCAATCACAGCGCTTTGCCCTTGCTGCAAGGACTAAAGGACGCCACGCGGCCGTTGCCTAGTAACTATCGCCGGAGGGAGGCGGGGAGGGCCGCAAGCGCGCCGCCGGCGTCCAATCAGGGCGTGCATTCCGGGAGCCAATAGCAGCTTCGAGAGCCGCTCACCTAGAGCCGACTACACTTCCCGTCATGCCCCGCCGCCCGGGGGCTGGGCAGTGGCCGTAAAGCTGTTCGCTCGGTACGATGCGAGTCCCAGCTCAGCGCCTATCCTGGGTCCACGGGCGCTACCGCCCCCCGACGTGAGAGAGCAAAGTTCTCGGGCCGCGCTCCCTCCCTGCCTGGATGCCCTCCCTCTCCGGGAGCCTGGGTCCCCGGGGCGGTCGCGGCG